ACAAGAGGAAATGCACTGGTAATGGCCTGAGGAAACCCACACAAAGCTAGAGACCCAGACTAGCAGGGATGCTGGGGCTATCGTGACTGTGTTAGGGAGCATGCATCTTCCCCTAACTCATTCAGAGGAGGTAGGATCCTCTCCCATTCCCGGCCAACACCGTGCCAGCAAAACTGCAGCGTCAACCAGACCCGAGGCCCCCGCTCACCTACCCACTGCTGCAGCCTCATTTTTTGTCATCCTGCTAAATTAGCTCCATCGGGCCTTTTTTTGTTTAATGCCCGTTCTACTGATTTCTCCCAACTTCTTGGTATCAGACTTGCAAGGTCCAGTGGATGGAATCAGAATAGCTTCTCTATCTTTGGTGGCAGAGAAAACGAACCACAGAAAGACAACTAGCGAGTGATCGGGGGGCCGCCGTCTGTTAGGCCTGGCCCCCGACTCCATGAGGAAGTCGGTGCAAGGACTTGGGGAGTGTGGCTGGTCTTAATACTGCTCTGGGGAACTTAAGTCCTTCATTAATGTTTATGGTCATTGCATGTAGCTAAGATGTCACATCTAAGGATGCACGGCTGCTGGAGCCTAGGAAGGAATTTGTCTCCAGCACGCTCACTGTTGAACACGACTACGGGCACTGTCGTTCCCGTGGCACACTGGATATTGTGCTGAAGCAGTATCTTCAACTCCTATGTCCAAGGGACTTCATCCCAGATCATAGCCTAAGACCTGACCACACACCACTGTACACGTACGGTGTTAAAAAAGAAGCGGACAGATATGGCAGACCTCTACCCTGCGGTCATGCTACCCAGTCTGGTGTGGAATCACCCTGGAGAGCAGTAGGGCTGAAAGTTTTATCAGCTCCTGTCCAGCCACTTGGCTCAAGGCAACCAGGCTATTACTAATAGTGAGGCACCGACTGTATGCAGATACTCCAGGATAACTTCTCATCTGTCCGCTCCAGATAATTGACAGATAACTTCTCATCTGTGCGTCCGGGCTAATTGACGCTGGCATACACCACTCTAGTGAAATGCCCCAAGTGTCTGGGCGCAAAGGGAGGCATCAGGGCCAGCACAGGAA